TTAAAAGAACAAGGAGATGAAAAAAAAGAGGTCAAAGATTCCCGATACAGGATTTAATTGAAATGAAGAACGATTGGGCAGGACACACGATCTCAAGCGATCACTTTTGTGCATTTCAGACCCGAGGCAATGGTCGGAAGCAGCTGTCGCCCACTGGCTGCACTGGGCGATCGGCGAGTTCTCGCTGGAGGGTGTGGCGATGCAGCCCTGGCAGCACATGACCGGCAAACAGATTTGTGCCATGGGGAAGGAGTCGTTTTTGGCACGTGCGCCGGCGTTCATGGGCGACATCCTCTGGGAACACCTCGAGATCCTCCAGAAAGGTACGTGACTCTATCCTTATTCCCAGGTGGGCCATCCAAGTTTGTTTCTTTACCCACATGGCCGCGCAAACATAGTGCTCCTTCGCCGTACCCTAACCCCGGGCCCAACCATTCTCGCCGCTAAACGCTTTCCCGCAGCCAACTACCGGTCGATTGAATTATTAGAGGCCACTTGCACAAACTTACGTCTCCATAATTCTTGTCGGACAAATTGTAACAACAACCGTGGGTTCCAATCGTTCGATCCCAAACTGTGGCATGCAAACGTCGCAAAGTGGGGCATTCGCAGAGCTGGGAAAAAATGGATTTTTAAAATAGTAAATAGAATATAAATATTTTTATCTTCTCACGTAGCACAGAATACGGCAAATAAATCTTTTCGATTATCCGACCAGCAGTTGATTTTGGTCATTTTTCGATTAGGCGATTAAGGCTACAATATTCCTCTTTTTGCACCGAGAGTTGACTAGCAATGAAAGGGTTGAAGCAAGAGAAATCTTCACGAAAGAGAATCGTGCTCGCCGCAGCAAGAGCAATTCCAACGTACAATGTCCGGCGCGATTAGAGAAATTACGCTTCGGGCACAGGATTCAAGCTTTGAATTCACGGCAGAAAAACATGCCCATTCTTAGCGGACAATCGAAGCGCTGGAGAATGTCGGAGGACGTTTCCAGGGTAGAAAGCCCCCCATTAATAGAACAGAAGTATCCCAGAATTCGCCGATTTCCGGTGGATCGGGGGTCACGCCCCCAGGTCCGTGTACCTGTTGGCCCGAAGTTCGACGACATACGAGCCGAAGATGATGGACAATCGGGCCGGGGCGATCCGGTGGGAGGGTTTCCAGGAGATTCGCGAGGAAAAGCAGGTTGCCACCGGAAGAGTAGCTTCCCTGCGACATCGAATCGGCGTGTCGACAAAAACAGATATCGAATTTCCGTAAAATCGCGATGTCACGGCAGGTACACCGGGGCCGGGGACCGGCCGCGAACAATGGAGAGAGATCGAGGAGGCGAGACGGCTCGTTCTCTCTCTCTCTCTCTCTCTCTCTCTCTCTCTCTCTCTATCTCTGTCTCTCTTTCTCTCTCTCTCGCTCTCGGCGTCTCTCCTCCGCGTAAAGCCCCGATGACCCCTCGGCCCCCTCGGGGCCCGTGTTTTCAGCGTTTCGAAGCGTTGAATCGGCACTTTTTATTCGAACCAAGGAGAGAATGGGGGAAAAAGAGAGCAGCGGCAGCCGCAGCCGCCGCGCGCGCCATAGAAACTCCCACTCCGGATATCCTGTGCCGTCAGAATGGTCCCGTGCCATTGCCTCGGCCACTTAGCCGGTTTTTCGGCCGTTTACCACCCCCGGCAGTATCCACTCGTACATCGATCACGAGATCCTCCGCGAGATAGATCCTGCCGCATGGATCGACGCCGTTTCTCGTCCAACAGCGGAGCAGCACATTTTCTTCGTAGAAAAGAACTAACCCTTTACCGTACCCAACGAAGTGCAATCGAAGTGCAATATACAAAGGCAAAACGCTTTTAATTCGTGCGAATTGATATATTGGAATTTTGTATTGCGTTCTGTGGATGAAAACACTAGACTAGATTATTTCATGCAAAAATTTATAAATACGGGAACTACCAGGCCTTTAATATATATTATACATATTTATATTTATTTATATTATATATAATATTTATTTATTATTAATATTATTATTTATATTTATTTTATAAATACTATATTATATATATTAATAAATATATTTATAATATATTTACTAATATATATATACTGTTTTATAGCTAGACTGCAGATTTTATGCATTTATCGCACAATTGAGTAAACACAATTTCGTGTAGTAAAAGGATTGAAATAGTCTAAAAATGTCACTGCTCGATTTTGAATCTATTAAAACCAGTGAATAAAGAATGTTCTTGCTGGTTATTTTCTATTTCTTGCAATTGATCCAGACAATATTTATTTTGCATGAAAGACCGCGGTCTATTTATAACAAAGACGCGATTCGATTTATTGAAACTTTATTACGATTTCTATCATAATGTAAGCTTCACCGAGGAACTTTACCCAAAGATTGATCATAAAATCATTATTTCAATGTCAGGAATTTTATCACGAATAGTCAGAAATTATGAAATTAATATGAAAATAATAGTAATAAAAGAAGTAATGGTAATTCTATGCGGTGTTATAGAGTCAAATAAAACAATAATTTCAACGATAACTCTTATAGTTTATTTTTTCTGATTTTCTCTTTTTCTGAACATAAAATGTAAAAATGCTCGGTAAATTTAAACAACCCTTTACAAAAACGCGATGCTCCGAGCGAGCAGTGATCTTTTAAATGTGACCGTTAATCCCTTAACTTGTACGCTCGAGTTAATTCGAGCGCGCTAAACAGGCCAAACTGTGCACATTTGAGATAATTCGAACGGCGTTGTATTTTATGCCGCAAAAAAAAAATATCGTTTTATTGATATTTATCATTTACATGGGATTGCAAGCTATAACACTTATTTATTCAAGAATAAAATATAGCCCTTTTCCATGGAACAAAAGCGCAGTATATCAAAATTCTCCACCAAAAATTGACTTTTTCTAGCCGGTGTTTTGTAAAAAAATCTGGACGTTAAGGGGTTAAATCCTTGAAAAAATCGGCATAGAAACAATCCTAGCTCTCGATATCAAGAATCGAACTAGACATGAATAGACACGGTGGCCTCTACGTTCCCGAATCTCGCGACGTTAACGAGGAGAAACCACAGAGTCCTGGAAACGCAGGTTCTCTTCGTCGCCGTCTCGAAGCGGAGCAACAGACTTTTTAGGCAGTCTGAGTGCCGCTGTTTAAGAGGCACGGGAACTACATTATTTTCTAATTAGATGAGAACGCCATTGATCGAGCGCCCGTGCCCCGGTTTATTATTTACGAGGCGTGCATCGCTCGTATCGTATATCATTCGCCGGAGGAAGTTTCCCTGGAACTTGTACTTGCTCGGCTGAGAAGACAGGAAGGGCGCGAGCGAGAGAAACGGGCGGATGGGACGGCCGATAGAGGGAGACAACCAGAGAGAAAGAGCGAGCGAAAGAGAGAGGGAGAGAGAGAGAGAGAGAGAGACGGGCGAGACAAGGTATGAAATGATCCCGGCAGGAAGCGGAGGTTCACCCATGATTTAACTCCCGTTAAGTAAAAAGCCCGTACTTCCCTATCGATTATTCGCAACGGAGAAACCGCGATTCGATCGATCGGCTCCGATTCGACGCGCGAATCCGACGTTCCTGCGAAACCAGACCGCCATTTTCTATCGTAGATCGTTCTACTGGGTTGGCAACTAAGTAATTGCCGATTTGTTCAATGAAATAAAAAATTTCTTTTTACTTGGAACGAAGTTTAATCTGTAATGTATTTTCCATTTTGTTCGATGACCTTTCGCCATCTCTCTGACAACTTGGAAATTCCACGCTCGTAGAAAGTCTGATCCTTTTCGGCCAAAAACTGAGTTAAGTGAGATTTTACAGCGTCATCGTCATTCAAAGTTTTACCATGAAGGGAGTTGTCCAGGGATCGAAATAAGTGGTAATCCGATGGCGCGAGATCAGGGCTATATGGTGGGTGTAACATCGATTCCCAAGCAATATCCATCAATTTTTGCCGAGTGGACAAAGACGTGTGCGGCCTAGCATTGTCCTGCTGGAAAATGACACCTTTACGATCGACCAATTCTGGTCGCGTTTCCTTGACCGCTGCATTCAATAGTAATAATAATTTTATAATATAACATTTACGGATATCGTAAAAATAGGAGTGAGAGACATCTATAACTGAAATCGGCAATTACTTAGTTGCCAACCCAATAGAACAGTTTTTCAACGGAGTTTCGACACGCGTTACTTATTATTTATTTAACCGACTTTTTACATTGGATGACTAAGGAATATTATCTAAAACGAGAGTGACATAAAAATTAATTACAAAATATGTAAAATTTCAACGATTAACTCCAGGTAAGCCCAATAAAGACGATTTAACACTGAACCTACCACCGAATGATCGGTTTCTAATTTTACATTACTACAAATTATGGAGATTTCTTCCTGGGAAATGATTGAATAAATTACATTATCAGAGCAAGTTTTATAATCAAAACTGTAGAAAATCTAAATGAATTCTATCTTTTCACTCTTGTGAGTCACTGCACATTAGTCACCACAACTGCTCGGTAGTGTTCAAAGAGTTAAGCAATCTTGAGCTGGTGGCGTACGTCAATTTGACGTCTTATCAGTCTGCAAAACAAGCTACGAAAAATTTTGTTCGCCACTTGAGGATTAATATTTTCACGGTAAGCACTTGAGGTCGAGCATAATCTGTTTTCCTCATTTATCAGCGAGTGGCATGGGATAAAAGAGATTCTTTTGGCGTTGCGCAGGTGCATACAATTTATTCACTCAATAAACGCATTCGAAATTGATCGAGCAACGAAATCGAATGTTACAATTTTTGAGAGTACACCGGAAGTGGCACAGGAGTGTCAACACCGCTTTCCGATCAGCAACGTGCACGAGAAAGCGCATCTTTCGCGAGAATCGAGCGGCACGAACGAACCGCAGGCGTTTCACAGAAAATCGAAAAAACGGTTCGATCGTCGAAAGTAACGGAGCCCCGATTGGCCGACTAATTGCCGCGGCCAAGCCCGTTTAATCGCGGAACAATGGAGAGCTCCTGATCTCCGGCGAATCGTAATTCACCGCGCGGCCGAAGCCTAGCGTGTTCGTACGCGACATGGCGTGGGTAATCGCTTTGATTCCGCGAACGAGAACGGATATTAGGAAACTCTGCTGCGCCGTAAAAAAAAAAAGTAGAAACTAAAAAGCTGCATCCTCCCGTTTGCCGGCACGGCGGCACACGAACGAGCCACGGTGAAACTACGGGGGCATCCGCGGTCGTTTCGCTCGCGAATTTTGTCGCCTCTCGGTGTCGCAACCCTCGCGGGTCCTCCTCGATCCGGCCGAACGTCGTGAACCGGGCCCGTTCCGGGCCCACGGCGGTAAACACGGAATTTTTCCGGGGACCGGGTTCGGCTTCCGTTCGCGTTCGAGAACTGCTCGCAACAGACGCAGAAACGGTCGTTGCCGATGAATCACGCGTCTCCTTCGCAATAATGGCGGGAATAATGGAGCACCTAGGCTAGATCGTTGATCACGATTACGGCCGCGCGATGCTATTGTTGCGGCAGAAACGCGGGCCCGGCTTCGCGTTCGCGCCACCTAATTGAATTTAATTCCCGCGAAGACGCCGCAGTCCCATAACCGCGCGCGGTGCCTCGATCATTCCGGTTGTCGCGGCGGCGGCGGCGACCTTCCCCGGCCTCGCCGCTTTCGAAATCCTCCGCGCAAGAATCCTCGAGAGAAGAAGAGAGGCCCCGCGTGTACCCTTCTCGGCGAGGCTCCTTCCATCGAGACAGACCCCCTCGGCCGCGCGAAATCGGGACACGAAAGCTGAACTCGAAACACGAACGAGTGCGGTCCGACTCGCGACTCAGGATCTGTTGCATTTTCCATTCAGATGTCGACGCGGCGAAGGCCTCGCTGGAGAACGCGCCGAGCAGCATGTACGAAAGCGTATGCGTGCCGGATTTAGGGGATTTCTTGGGATACCAGGGCGCGGCCCATCAGCCGGCTGCTACGCCGGAGCACAAGAGCCCAGCGACGCCCTCCTCGAGTTCCGTCACCTCGAACACCTCGGGCCCTCCTCGGTCGGGGACTCAGCCGACGTCGTCGTCCACGTTGCCACCGCCCTCCGCCGCAGTTTCTCTACCCTCGAGACAGTATCATAACGATGGTAAGTGTCTCTTTGTCACTATCCTGCCGCGGCTCTCGAGTCCTCCCTCCGCCCTCTGCCAGGCTCTCTCTCTCTCTCTCTCTCTCTCGCGCGCGCGCGCGACCTCTTCCGCTTCGGTCCTCGAACCGAATGGGCCCCGCCGCGGCGAGGATACGATCCGTAAACTGTCGGGGACCAACGTACGCTGTCCCACGCTCCTCTTCCGGACGCGCGTCCCCGCGCGGACATAAATCCGAACGCCCGCGACAGCCTTGTCCGCGGACTGTCCACCGTTCGCGAAACACCTCCTGACAATATGGTGTCGACCGAGCGGATTGAACGCCTCCTGCCTGCTCCCGGATAAGGATAAATGGTCCTGCGACCAACCAGGAGACGTCTTTCTCGCGGACGCGACAGCGTTTCCCAACCCCATCGAACTTCAGGAGAAAACGAGTCGACAGATCGGAGGGAGAGATCGGGACTGGGATTCGATCCCGGATCTCTCGCTTGCCCGGCGACTGCTTTAACCTGGGATATTACCCACGTGGAGGTCTAGTAGACTGCTATCATCGGCAAATTTTTGTACATTTTGATCTGTAAATAGTATCTTTTTCAGTGGGGTCCAGGAGCACCCCACGTGGGTAATCCCGGGCTAGTCTTTGTAACCCAAAGACCTCGGAAATGCCGGCTCCTAGTGCAGGGGTGTCAAACTCGCGGCCCGAGATGAACATTTATGCGGCCCAGTCAATATATCCGACGCAAAGTAAAGATGAAATAGAAATGTGAATTAGAAATTTTGAAAGTAGTCTCGGCCAATGAAATTTCTCCCGAAATAGAAAACATAGTATCGGAGAAGAGACGTCAAGTATCAGGACGTAAACAGTAATTTAACTTTATATACGTTTATTACAATGTACTAATCAAAATAAAAATATTTGTTTCTATGAACATTGATTTACCTAAAGTTAAGCATCGTTTATTCGGCCCAAGTTAGCTTTTGAGTTTGACACCCCCTGTCCCGGAGCATCGCGATCGGTATCAGGAATTCGCGCGGGAGTGCGCGAACAGTTGATGAGATTCGTAGGGAAAGGAAGTTGGGAAACGCTGATCGGAGGGCAGAGGGTCTCGGTTGCAGCCGCGAAATCGCGCGACAAGCCGGTTTATTTATTTCCCCCGATTGCGGAGCCGCGCGGCTAGAACGAAAGCGTTGCGACTCGCGGCAGAGGAGTTTCTCATTGTTACGTCAGGGGCCCGGGGCCTGATAGCATCTCTCGGCTCGGCGCGTTTGCACGTGTTGCCACAGGTCTCTCATTATCGTCGGTGGCTCGCCTCTCTCGTTTAGCCGTTCCGTCGTCATCGGGGAACGACAATCCGCGATTTCACTGTTCCACGAGCCACCGGGTCTAGAAATCGAGCGTCCTCCAGCCGGTCGGCGAGGCGGAGGATGAGCCCCGACCCGGCCGAGCCGGCACGCCGCCGGTTGCAATATTCTCGGCCGCGATTCGGGCCCCGGCGTGATTCACCTTGTTCACCTTATTCCGCGGCGCGGCGTTTTCATCGCTGAACTCTCCGTGACGCAACTCATTCAGCCGAAGGACTCCGGCGTTCCAGCGACGAACAATGGGAAACGCGCGGGCCACGCTGGGAGTGGATCATCCCATTCATCCGGCAGAGCAATTTGTTGTCCTGGATTTTTTCCCCCGTCGACCCGATGCTTATCGCCGCGGTTAACGCCGGCTCTGGGAAAACGCTTAGCCGGCTGCCGATCCCGGCGAACGGATCCTCGCGAATCCAAAGCGAATCCGAGATCTCTCGAATCCGCCGGCCCGAGGCAACTCGAAGGGCTGGCGATCGCCCAAACGGGAGCAACCGCGGACGGTCGTCGAGCGGATCGGAGCCAGCTCGGATAGAACGGAACGGAGGAGAACATTATGAAGCGAGCGTTCGTAGCGTAGGTAACAATTACTTAGCCGGGGGCCTTACGTCATTGCAGCAGTGACCGTGGGTGAACGAGGGAAAGTCGGGCCCTCTGCACGCTTCGCCGCGGACAATGGAGACGACGCCGGGCTCCGCTGCCTCTCGCGGCATCCTCGCGCGTTATCCTCGGCATATCCTCGCGTTCGACTCGAGGAAAAACATGCGTCCGAACCCGTCGCCCGTACAAATTCATTGAAGTCGCAGAGCTTTCGGTCTTCTCCGATCTTAAAATCGTGATGCGGGGCGGTCGGCTCTGGCCGAAGTGATCAGCGTCGAATAAACGGACGTTGATCGTATTTCCTTGTCTTTAACCACTTGCCGTACTTCGACGAGTTCGACTCCTGACGGAAATTTCTAGCAATAAATTATTAAGTATAGATGTGTTTGTCTGTCCTTTAACACTAGATTTATGGATCACAAAAGACAGCTGTTTCATGTTAGTTTATAAAAGTAACAATAAGACATTTATTCTGATTTTTAACAAGTGTTATTGCAACATTTGCCGTCAGTAACATATAAATTGAATAAATAACTCATAAATGTATCTTTACGATATGAATCAACGTAAATTAAAAAATTAGTGACCCGTCATTTTGACGGGTTCCGTGAATCTAGGGTTAATACGTTCCGTGCCGAACTGTGTTTACTCGACTGTTCACACTGGCCATTTGATATTATACGTAATATTATATGTAATTATTAATTATCGTATATATATAGGGTGAGTCTCGTAACGTGACAACCTCAAATAATTCGTAAAATATGTCCAGGGGGACATATAGTATTATAATCAGTTTTATGTTATTTTACTTTTTTATCAAGATATGAAAGTCGCCTTCGATTTTTTAAAAGGAATAGTTACTATTTCTTCCTAAATTCGGATAAAGCGTTGAATTCTACACAGCAATGAAACAAAACTTATTTTGACCCGTTCTTGCGGTGGAAATTAATTCTTCAGTTCTACTGGCGGTATTATCAGCAGTACACATAGCACGGAACGTGTTAAAAGATTGGAATAAAATTCGATAAATAAATAAAATTCTTGTCGTCAATATCTCAGCAATTACGTAAACTTAGACGCACGATAAACATCAATTTTCTTTCCCTTCGAAGAAGTGATTGCGATCGAAAAATTTCTAATCGCAGTAACTGCGAAGAAAATGTTAGGTCAAGAGCTTAAAAACAAGAATAAATTTTCCTTGTCTTCCATTAACAAAAGAAGAAGAGATAGCCAGTGTCCGTCGATTTGACGCCTGTGCGACCCTGGCCTTATGGGTGCCCCAAATGCATTCGCTCTTTCTCTCTCTCTCTCTCTCTCTCTCTCTCTCTCTCTCTCTCTCTCTTTCAAGAAAATTCTGAAACTCGTCGAAAAAAGGGATCTACATTGCAGGGCAGACCGCAAAATTTGGCAATGCCCGAGCCGAATTTCCACGGATAGGATCGCGCGCGACTTTTGCATAAGACTTGGCGAACTGTATCACGATTCGTGCGCTCATAGAACGTGTCGTTGCAAGACGACCAACACAGGCGACCGTATAATAGACTCATTATTTCTGCTTGCCGGAGCACTGTTACGTTATGTATCGCGGCTCTTCGAGGTCTCTGGTTCGACTCTCGCTTATCCTCGCTTTCGACCTCCTCCTCTTGGAACCGATGCGTTACGTTGCTCCCGTGCTGCACGCGCTAGACGACTCGCTCGTTCGTTCGTTCGCTCGCTCGCTCTCCAACTTTTCCGGCCGGTGGACTCCGCCGAATACCGCCATCGACCCGATTCTCACCGGAATATTTTCACAACCGCTACAGAATTACGGAACAGGGAATAGAGAGATTAATTGCGAACGCTTCTCCGGCACGCACCGATTTCTTCCACGACCAAGAAACGAACCCGCGGCAACGCGAAATCCTGTCGGGCAACGGTGTCGCGAGCGAGCGAACCGATCCCGTCGGTCGCGGCACCGGTACTTCCGATTTCTTCCGGCGCGGACAATCGAACGGAAGACAATGCGGCGTCCGCGCCGGACAACTGCTCCCGACGGTGTGCAAGAAGGCTCTCCCGATTCCTGATTCCCGATTTCCGCGGGCCACATGCTTGGAAGCCACATCCTCGACTTCCGCGAGCCGCTCGTTTCGAAACCGGACGTCGGCTGAATGCCGAATAAACGATGGTAACTGAATATTCGCGGTGGTTCTTCGCTCGTGAACGGGCACGATCCGGCAGCCACGAGGATGTGCGACGTCGGCGAGGTTCCTCCGTGTCACGTATGTGTCGTCGCGCGTGCACACGCCGAGCCGAGCCGAGCCGAGCGGAGCCGTCTCGCCGCGTCTCTCGCGTCGCGACGGCCACACGAGTTGTTAGCTCGCGTGCATAAATTAGAGGAGCAGAATCCAGCGTGCGCAAAAGCGGGGTCCCCATGGTTCCACGACGACGCCCGGCCCAAAAAAGGACCGGCCATCGTGTGACGCCATTCGATTTACCTTTATGGAAAGGTTAGTCAATCGTGCCGACAATGAGCACAATGATCATTTGTTAAGCAACCACCGCGCCGATAACTAACCGTCGCTGGCCACGCGGCATTTTGATCGACGACCAGCCGATTTTCGGCCTCGGATCCTTGCTCGAGTCCTTCTCCGAGCCTTTTTCGTAGCAACCGCGCGTCTGAGCCACGTGCTCGCAGCCTAGACAAAGCCCGCCGGATTTCGATATTCCGATCTCTTCGTCGACGGTAATGTTAGAATGGCGGTGGCTTTGATCGTCGAACTTAGAAAGTGCCATCCTCGATCCGGGAATTTAAGCGATTATACTTTGTGCGAGTTTTGGAGCATGTCTAGAAACGTGTTGCGCAATTTTTTTTCTTTTTATCTTGAGTAAATTCACTTTAAGGGGAGGAAATTAGTATCCAAACATTCGACTGTTTTTTTTTAGTTCATTGTCAGAAATCGCAAACTACAAGATAGAAAAAACGTCTTCGAACGAAAGTCGCGTTTTTTTTGTCCAGATACATCATGTGGTATACGATTTGTTAACTGTTTACACACCTGCAAAA